TGTAATATTTTGGGTAAATGCCTAGGAATGGAATTGTTGTATCATATGGTAGTTCTGTGTTTAATTTTTGAGGAATCTCCATATTGCTTTGCAGATTGGTTGAACAAGCTTACATTCCCCCCAAATTAAAGTTCCCTTTTGGCCACATCTCACCAATATTTGTTGTTTTTTCTTGGTGATGGCCATTCATACTGGGGTGAGATGAAATCTCATTGTTGTTTTGGTTTACATTTCCCTTATGGCCAGAGATGTTGGAGCATTTCTTCATGTGTCTATTGGCCATGTTTACTTCTTCTTCGGGGAAGTCTATTAAATCAAGTAAGCCAGATCCAGAGAAACAAAGGTGCTGTGGTTTCCTTCGTTTGTAGTAGTTAGAGTGTACCTATAAATCTAGAAGTAAACACAATGGGATGGGCTGTGCACAAGTGTTACAAATAAATTAAGTATAATAGACTATATAGAGAGCCCAAGTAGTATAATCTTTTAGAAAGACTAGGTCAAACTCAACAAAATCAACATCAGGATATGTATGCATACAAAAGAGCAGGTGGGGCCAAAGGGAGAGAGGTAGACTAAGGAAAAGTGGAAGAGGATGGGGGGGATAATGCTGTTAAGAATTCATTGTATATACCACAAAGTTAAGAAAAGTAAGGGAAGGAGTGCATTGAAGGACAGTGAGAATGTTGAGAGGGAGTGACACTGATCAAGATGCATTGTATTCATAAACTGCTTTGTTCCATGATTCCTCCTTTGTATAACTACATAAAGATACTTTTGAAAAAGTCAGCGTTTTTTTTGGTCTTTCTTCTAGAAGCCAATCTAAGTATGAAGAAGATTCTTATGCCTGGATCATACAATGATTTTGTCTCTATGAGTAGAATTTCTTCGATCTTAGTTTAGACATTTTGAGTTTCAGAGATATGCACTTAGGTCTTTCCATCAGTTTAGGACCCCAAGTAATTTTAAAACTTTATCTTCTATGTTTTATAGAAAGGAAAATTCAAGATGGAAAATATTAGCATCTGTAAAAGAGAAATTTGATAAGCAAGCTTAGACTGGAAATCTGGGCTCCCTTGTTGAGACCACTAGTTGTAGAGAACTTGGTTTAATATTGGGCAGGTGTCAGCACTTTAGCTTTCAGGCTTTATTGGTGGCAACAAATTTTATAAAGCAAGAGCCTACAAACATTCATTAGATATAGGAAGTAAAGACTATTCTTCACTAATTTATTCATTCAACAAACACACTGATTTCTGGGTGCCAGGTACTGCCAAGATCTTTCTCTTTCCTACTTACTCATCCACTGGTTCCCCAGTTCAGGGAAAAGAAAGCACAAAAACTAAATCCATGCTTCTTTTATATTGCTACTTAAAATTTATATCCCAGAATTATTGACTAGCATTAATTCTGTAACTGTCTAAATTTTCTGTGATATCAGAACTGCCCCCAAAGTAAAAATCAAAAGCTAGACTAAGAAAAAGAACTGATTTAAAAATTTTTAATTTTATATATGAATTATCATACATTAATAGTAGGAAGAAGTTTCATGCATACAAATATACTTTGAACAAGTTCAACTCCTCTTATATCCATCTTCTCCTTTTTTAAACCATGTTTGGTATGAAAGAAAATATTTGTAACCATGTGGCCAGAAAGGGTTGACAGTCCTACTAGATAACAAAAAAAGATCAAGTACCTTAAAGAAAACTACGTAATGGATTTGATCAGGAAATTTAAAGAAGGAATATAAATGTTCAGTGAAAAGTCATTTGACCTCACATTGAATTCACATTGGGATGTAGTTTTCAGTTATCAAATTGCCAACATTAAATTAAAGAGTGATCGTAGTCAGTGCTACCCAGTTTTTTTGGGTAAAGGTAAATAGACTTTCATGTAGAAATTTAAGGTTCCACATGTAAATTGCACCAAGTTTTCAGAAAAACAATGTTAAATTCTATTAAAATGTAAAATATTTCTAAATCTTTTTTTAATTTAATTTAATTTTATTTGTGAACATACTCTACAGAGGAGTTACAATTACATGGGCAGGATAATGCGTACATTTCTTACCAAGCATTGCAGCCTCCTCCTTTGTTTACCCTTCACATCCCTTCCCAGCCTCCCCCCTTCCCCCCAATCCCAATCCTTCTCCTTCCCTCCCCTTCCCCCCCTCCCCCCCACACCGACGTTGTAAAGCTCGTTTTGGACATGACAACTTGTACTTCTCATTGTTGCAACAGGTCCACCTGTATCCTTAAACAACTGGTTTTTCCCCATCTCCTCCACAAGTTATACTGACATCAAATATAGTGAAAGCAGGGGTTATACTGTGGGGGAGAGACATACAAAGCAACAAAGAGATAATCTTATAAATGCATTAGAAACACAATATTTCTAAATCTTTACCCTAACAAGTTGTTTTTGTTGTCTATTAAGAAACATGAGTCCCATCAGTAAAGAACATACATGTGGGCTGGGAAGGTAGCTTAGTGGTAGAGTGCTCGCCTTGCATGCCTGAGGCCTTGGGTTCGATTCCTCAGCACCGCATAAGCAAAAAGAAAAAAGCCAGAAGTGGCGCTGTGGCTCAAGTGGTAGAGCGCTATCCTTGAGCTAAAGAGCTGAGGAACAGCACCCAGGCCCAGAGTTCAGGCCCCATGACCGGACCCCCCCCACCAAAAAAGAACATACATGTATGTTTATGTGTATATATACATATATATGTAAATATGTATACATAAGAATATTCATTACAGTACTATCAAGAGACAAATTTGCCAGGGAAATGGTTAAATAAAAGATAAATCCATGCCTGGGAATGTTTATATGGATATTTAAAAAGCAGTTGATAGAGTGATATATATATATATAATATGAAACTATTAGAGGACACAAAACAGAAGGTTAAAGAGGTGTTTACATGCAAATGTGTGAATGTGTGTTTATGAGTACAAACAAAGCTTCCAAAGCTACACAGTGGACATTGGTTACCTTGAGAACTAGAGAGCTATATGGTTTGAATTGTTAAAACAAGCCTAATTTGGGCTGGGAAGTTGGCTCAGTGGTAGAGTGCTTGCCTTGCATGCATGAGGCCGCCCTGGGTTTGATTCCTCAGTACCACTAAGCAGAAAAAAGCCAGAAGTGGTGCTGTGGCTCAGCCTTGAGCTGAAGAGCTGAGGGACAGTGCCCAGGCCCAGAGGTCAGCCCCCACGACTGACAAAAAAAAACAAAACAAAACAAATTTTTGTAATATATTAAAAAAAGCATGAAGTTAAATAAAGAATGAAAATGGGAGGGGAAGAAGCAGAGACAAGAATGTTTTTGAAGCAAAAAACTAGAGTCCAAGAGATCGTCCATGTCCCAAACTGTTTAGACACCAAGTAAGAAAAGGATGGAGAAACATTGCTGTGTTTAGTGTGTGTCCTTAGAGAGAGTAACCTTGAACTAGTAGAGTCAAAGAGCAAAGACACCTCTCAATGAGAGAGATTAGGAATTTTAGGGGAGACTAGGTAGAGCCTAGCAAGGTTACTTTCTTTCTTTTTAAAAATTTAACTTTTAGGATGAAAGATACATTATGATTCTTGTTTCATATGTGCATTTCACTCTTGTGCCTCTTTTTTTGGTGGGGGGTCTTACTGTGATTTGAACTAAGGGCCTTATATTTTCAAGGTGGTCCACCAGTTGAGCCATGCTTCTTGTCATTTTTTTTGCTTGACTTTTTGGGTAGATTCTTGCATTTATTTCCTAGGCCTGTCTTGGTCTGATCTTCCTGCAGATAGTCTCCTGCATAACTGGACCACAGGAGTACAACATCTTGCCCAGCTTATTGATTTACAGAAATTTTAAATAGGCATGGTATTAGAGTTATTCTAATTCAGTATTTTATTCAGAATAGATATTTCATGGCAGATACTTGATTTGGCAATAATTGATTTAGGACACTTCATCAATGTTGTCTTGGTTGATTCCGATAGCCAAAGTATTTCTATTCTTGTTTTTTAGTTATAAATTACAACAACTTCAGCTTTATTTTTTTTTACTTTTGTTTAGATACATTACAATGTTCAGGTACATTGATCACAATAATCATACTTAGATCAGTATTTTATCCATTGCATTCTTATGAATTGACATTTAAGATATGTAGACCATCCATGTCCATTGTAATGAAGTAGACACGTATTCATTCAATTTACTTGTATGATGGCATACTTTGTGGGGACATATTTCTGGCAAAGTTTTGTTACTTAAGTAATTTGCGGCATACCATAAAGGTAGGTATAATAAGATTACTGAGTATTTTAATGTTTTGTGTTGATGTTTTAGCATGGAAATGTTTAACCTATATGTTTACTACAATTCACTCATTTTTTGTTACCAAAAGATTCACTCCCCTCCTCTACCTGGATGTGGGAATAAGTGACTTGTAGGGGCTTGTGCCTCACTCTTTATGGCAGTGTTTTTGGTCAAGAACTTTGAGAGCCATAGCTGTAGAGGAGTGATGAGTTTTGTGGTAAAGGATGTCCTGAACTGTTCAGCTTGATTAAGGAGCTCACAAAGCATGGCTTCAATGACAGAGACTATGAGCTGGCTCTTCATTAATAAGATATTTGAAGAAAACTGGGTGTGGTGGGGTATAATCCCAGTATTCAAGGCACTAACGCAGAAGAATCATAGGCTCATGCCTACAATCCTACCAGCTCAGGAGGCTGAGATGTGAGGATCACTGTTTGAAGGCAGCTTGGGCAGGAAAGTTTGTGAGACTCTTACCTCCAATAAATGACCAACAAAAGCCAGAAGTGGAGCTGTGGCTCAAGTGGTAGAGAGCTAGTTTTGAGGGAAAAAAAAAAGCTCAGGCATAGCACTTAGTCCCTGAGTTCAAGCCCTAGGACCAGCATGCGCGAGTACACGTGTGCGTGCGTGCGCACACACACACACACACACACACACACAAAGTTCAGAGAGCAGATACTCATGATACTGTTTTTCACTTCCTGTCTAAGGATGTAAATGAAGATCCTGGAGAAGATGTGGCCCTCCTTTCTGTCAGTTTTGAGGACACTGAAGCTACCCAGGTGTACCCCAAGCTGTACTTGTCACCCCGAATTGAGCAGTAAGTGTCAATGTCATTAAGTAGCCTGTGCTTCTCCTGGCTCACCAGTGTGGTCCTTGCTCTTTCCATTGTCACTTGTGAACTCAAAATGATTTCTCTTTATTAACTTTGGTTTCCTTAGAAATTTGCTGCATTAGTTCTAATGGCACAGTATATGCAGATAGTGCTTGAGAATGTAATCTCTCATGAACATTATTTGTGCAGTTTGTGTGTGAAATCTGGGTATTTGAATATTGGAGAGAAAAGTACAGACAAGAGTCCAAAGTTGTGATTCCCTCCATGTATGCCTTGAGGTTCATGAGCAATCATGTTACCTAAAGAGGACTAAAAGTAAAACCTGACCTGACAGTTGTTAGTTTATGGAAAAAAATATAACTAGTGTCTCTAAAATAGTAAGAAAAGTATTTAGAAGTTAGTAAAAGTGGTAGGAAAAAAGCAAGATAGTTTAAAAAGATGATGTTTGAATTGTCTCTTTGTTTAAACAGCTGCATATGATTTGAGATAGCATCCAGCTACATAGTAGAAGCCGTGTGATATCACACTTATTCTCCCAAGTAGCTTTTCTCCATAGTAATAAGTTTTATACGGATTCACTTAACAATGTGCTTATTGTTGACCAGATGCTTTAGTAGCTTATTCTACTTCAAAGGAAGCTGAGGGTCATTGAAAATGGATTATAAGCAGATTTGGTTGGAACCACTGACATGACAGATTTTTCATCAGCAGAGTTTTTACATATTCTGAGGGAAATGTATTATTAAAGTCCTTTGTTAGTCATTTAGTTGGGGTTGGCTGATTTCTGCCTGTGAGTAGATGTGGTCACCATCTAACATTCTTCTTCTGAGCCATTTGTATCCTCTGTGACCTTAGGAGTACTAAGTTATAAGTCATGGACACCCCATAGTATAGATACAGTATATAGCTGTTATACTCAAATATGGGAGACTCTCATTATTTTTGTATTTCTGACAGCTTCTAGAACAGAATTTCAGAGAAGCGGGCATTCAGTGAATGTTTACTTTATATATGTAATGTTTTGGCAGTACTAGGACTTGAACTCAAGGCTTCTTACTTACTAGACAGGTGCTCTACCACTTGAGCCATGTCCATAGTATTTTTTGTTTGCATTATTTTTTAATAGAGTCTCGTGTTTATTCTTGGGCTAGCCTGATTTTACTATTTACACTTTCCACTTAGGTGGGATGACAGGCATGTATCATTATGCCCAGCTTTTTGTTGGTTAAGAATGAGGTGTTGTGAACTTTTTGCCTAGGCTAGCCTCGAACCATGTTCATCCCAATCTCTGCCTCCCAGATCACTGATGTTATGCATGTGAGCCACTGCTTCTGGCTTGAATGTTTTATATGTGCATTGCCAGTACTGACCTGTGTTAGAGGATTGCTAGGTACAATGAAGTGCTAAGAGGCCAGAGACTATTGAGTCAAACAGATTCTGCCATTTAGGAGCTGGCAAACTATTTAACATCTCTGTGCTTGTTTCCTTGGTCATAACATAGACATAGTAATACCTATTTCAAACTGTTGTTTGAACTATTAAGCACATAAAACATTAACTGCAGTGCCTAGCACGACAGCAAACCCTCAGCAATAGTAGTACTTAGTGTTGTTATTGTTACTAATAGAGTTCATAGCAGAAGAATGAGTGGTTAGCCAGGGATAAGACAAAGCAGAAAAGGAAAGGATGCATGAATAAGTGAGCAAGTACTTGTTCCAGACTAGCCCTCTCTGTGTGTATGTACTGAGTTAAGAACAAAAGATTATTAAAGAAACAATTACAAAATGTGGAAAAAACTAAATGTATTACTTAAGCCATAGATGGGATTTTTCCAGCTCAAAAAAACATCAAATATTTACCAAAATCTAGGTTATTTTTCTTTGAAATTATTATACTTAGATTGCAAGTAAGCTTTCTAGTAAAATATTTTTACTCTAAAAATATAATATAATATGAGAAACTAATAAGGGAAAATACATTTAAAGAGTCATTTTCTGACTCCCAAAATCTAGCTTTCAACCTTCTTTCCTGTTGTGTATACACGTGTATACATGTATATACATGTATGTGTATGTAGTACACATGCATGCATATGTGTGTGTGTGTGTGTGTGCATACAAGTCCTGGGGCTTGAACTAAGGGCCTGAGCACTGTCCCTGAAGGTTACTTGTAGATCAAATTCTCAAGGACTTTCCTGCATTGGCTGGCTTTGAACTATGATCCTCAGATGTTAGCCCCCTGAGTAGCTAGAATTACAAGCATGAGCCTCCAGTGCCAGGCTATTCTCTGTTTTCAGTGTGAAGAACTAGATGCTGCACTTTTCTATTACTTCTCCTTTAAGCCATCCCATAGCCAGACTTAGTTCACATTTTCTCAGTTTGCCTCTACTCTTTATTTTCAGATAAAACCAGTTTTTATTCATTGGTCTTTATCTATATAAGTGCCAGTGGTTCCCAACTTGAAGGGATATTTAGTACTATCTGAAGTTGTTGTTTTTTTTTAGTAAACGTATTTTTTTTATTGTGAAAATACTGTACAGAGGGGTTACAATAACATGGGCAAGATAATGAGTACATTTCTTATCAAGCATTGTAGCCTCCTCCTTTGTTTCTCCTTCCCATCCCTTCTCATCCTCCCCCCCACCAAAGTTGTAAAGTTCGTTTTTTGACATAACGACTTGTACATCTCATTGTTGCAATGGGTCCTCCTGTATCCCTGTTTTAACTATTTTTTCCCCTTCCCCTCCACATATACCAACATCATATATAGTGAAAGCAGGGGTTATACCATGAGGGAGGGACATACAAAGCAACAAAGACATAATCTTATAAATATGCTAGAAACAATCACATGAAAGATCTCTCTCTCTCTTTTTTTTTTTTTGTCATTCATGGGGCTTGAGCTCTAGGCCTGGGAGCTGTCCCTGAGCAATTCAGCTCAAGGCTCATGCTCTACCACTTGAGCCACAGCGCCACTTCTGGTTTTCTGGTGTTTTCTTTTTTAATTGTGATTAAGTGATTACATAATTTCCTAAATTTCACAGTATTGTGGGATAGGGATGCTCATTTAAAGTCACAAACTCATTCTAACTTTCCTGGAGCAAATTGTCTATCACAGTCTATAACATATAACAGCATACACATATATACCATACATGTGATCAACAGCATGGGGTTATTTAGTAGTGGTTCAACCAGATGAGTGGGAGTTCTTTGTTTCTTAAGCCCTGTTAATTTGGTCGTATCACCTAACATTTTGGATTTAACATCCACTTATCAGGGAGACCATGTACCATTTGTCTCTTTGCTCTTGGCTTACCTCACTCAACATGATTTCTTCTAGCTCCATCCGTTTCCCTGCAAATGTCATTATTCTGTCATTTCTAATGGCTGCATAATATTCCATTGTGTATAGATACCACAATTTTTGGATCCATTCATCTGTGGTGGGGCATCTGGGTTGTTTCCATATCCTAGCTATTGTGAACAGTGCTGCAATAAACATGGAGGTGCATGTGTCCTTGTATATTGGTTCCTCTTGTTCAGGATAGATACCTAGAAGTGGTATGACTGGGTCGTAAGGGAGGTCAATCTTTAGCTTTCTAAGGACCCTCCAGACTGCTTTCCAAAGTGGTTGTATAAGTGTACATTTCTACCAGCAGTGTAATAGGGTTCCTTTTTCTCCGCATCCCCTCCAGCATTTGTCGTTGGCTGACTTGTAGATGTGGGACATTCTGACTGGGGTAAGGTGGTATCTCAGGGATGTCTTTATTTGCATTTCCTTCACAACCAGGGGTGGTGAACATTTCCTCATGTATTTCTTTGCCATTTTTATTTCTTTATCTGAGAAGTCTCTCTTTAGTTCCCTTGCCCATTTAGTAATTGGTTTGTTAGGTTTGGGAGGGATTAGTTTCTTGAGTTCCCTGTATATATTGGATATTAACCCCTTGTCTGATATATTGCTGGTAAATATTTTTTCCCAATTAGTTAGTTGTCTTTCTAGCTTGGTTGAGATAGATTTAGCTGTGCAGAAGCTTTTTATTTTAAGGTAGTCCCATTTGTCGAGTCTCTCTCCAACTTGTTGTGACCCTGGGACTCTGTTCAGGAAGTTCCTTCCTATGCCTATAAGTTCAAGTGCTCTCTTACTCTGTCCTGCAGTAGTTTCAGAGATTCAGGTTTAATGTTAAGCTCTTTAATCTATTTTGAGTTGATGTTGGTGCATGGTGATAGGCTGAGGTCCACTTTTAGTCTTCTGCATGTGGCCGCCCAGTTTTCCCAGCACCAGTGGTTGAAGAAGCTGTGTTTCTTCCATTGTATGTCTTTGGCTCCTTTGTCAAGTTTGCCTCCATTCTTGCTGCTGAACCTTTGCTAACATTGTTCCATGTGTAACCCTTTCTTCCTGTTGAAGAAAACATTTTCTATAGCCTTAGTCAAATGCCCTCCCTACCTACCATTTTCCCATACACAATCAGGGTAGCCTTCTTGGGACTTAATTGTAGTCTGCTAATATAGCTTTAGTTTGAGAGGTGGCTACTTATTGTTAAGGAACAAGTCTTATCATTATTACCTAATTGGCAGTCATTTATAGACTCTTAGTGATTCTCACCAAAAAAATTAACCACTGTATTGGAAATTCTCAAAATTTCCTGGGTTGGAACAAATTCACTTACAATAACTGCATTCATATTACAGAAGTGAACAACCAAAAGTTCCTGTGTTGTAAGTAGACGTTATCATGGTTTAGCCTGGGTTAAAATGGAAGGCAATAAACTTGAGCTATGACTTTATAAGGACTTGCATATTTGCTAAAATTATTGTTGTATAGTCTCTCCTTATCTGTGGTTTCTCTTTCTGAGCTTTCAGTTACCCACAGTCAACTGTGGTCTGAAAATATTAAATGGAAAATTCCAGAAACAAATAACTCATAAATTTTAAATTGTATACCATTTGTCTTAGCATGATAAAATCTTGTACCATCCTGTCAGG